TAGTAGTTGACAACTTGCGCAGGTTGATGGACATGTACGACATTCTCCGGCATAAAGATAATACCCATAAGAGCACTTTGTACAATATCTTGATGTAGTATAACAAGACACACACTGGTACATATTACCACACGAGTAACAATACCTACCATATGGGTAATACCCATATTTACATTGTGTGCACGTATTTGCGTCACTACAATAAACACAATTGGAATCTAAAGCGGAACACGCAGTGCATATCACACCTTTGGTATATATTGGAGTGAGATAAAAGCCCGAATTACACCGATAGCACACACCAGTAGTTGTGCTGTACTGGCATTCATAACTCGCACAATCTTTTGGACAACAAGTCAACCCATATATGTATGCTCTGTCATCACATACAAAAAATGACGATTTTGCGTTTGATTTTTTACAAAAGACGCCATTTGTCCGAGTTGTTAAAGTATAATTTTGTGAACACTTTTGACACACATTTTGAACACAAATTTCACAATCAGTTGTTGGTCCACAAATATTATTGTTAGTACTATTGGAAATTAATTTATTAACAAAAACGGTTTTTTCGGTGACGTTTTCATATTTCAAGCTCAATTTTGGAAAATGTAGTAAAGTGTTATTCAGTTTAAAAACAATTTCTTCGACATGTTGTTCAACATCAATTTGAAGTTCTGTGACAACGTCACACTGAACACTAAAAGACAGCCGATTCTTTAAAATTAGAACGCCTCCAATGTCATCAACAAAACGTGTTTGGCATGTCAGAGGATGGGATTGAAAACACTGGACAGTTCCATTTTCACTTGAACACCACGTCAACGAATAGCTTTGAAAGCAACAGAAAAACAACAGCAGCCCAACACAAGCCATTTTGATTTTTGTGTTTTTTTAGTCGAAAAAAACATTTCAATAATTTCCAAAGAAAAGTTTGAGTTACAAATTTATCTTGACATTATTATTAAAAAATAATTTATAATATCTAACTCACAAAAATACAAATATAGATCAAGTCAAACACTAATCAAGTAATAATAACTTGAGTTCACTGATAATAGTTCTTTATAAATTATATATTTAAGTTGGTTCTATGTAAATTAAACAAATTTACATGTTTTTTGTTTTATTTTTCGGGATTTTTTTTAATTTCCCAAAAACGCGGTTTTAATTTATTCTCTTTTAGATGAAAAACAATTCCTTTTGTGTTTTTGAGTTTTGGCATGTTAAAGATCTTTCATATTAAGGAAGGAAAAATAACTTTACAGTCAAGATAAAAAGGCGGATGCTAATCTAAATATAAATTTATTTAATATTATTAATAATAAATAATTAATATAAATTTATTTTGGTTTTTCATTTTATTTATTTTTTGATTAATAATTTATATTAAAATTAATAGTAATTTTATTGTTTTTCAATTGAAATTAACCAATAGTTACGAGCATACTCCTTTTCCGAGCATTTTCATATTTCCTCCTACTGTATCTGAACCATAAAATAGGGACCAAACTAAATTAAGCTTTTTTTCAAAACTTTATATTAATATTTTATAAAGAAATAGCACCATATAAACGGGGTTTAAAGAAAAAAATATATTTTTCAAGAACTAGAACTATATAAATAAACAATATTTTTAAATATATTAGAAAAAACGATAAAATACAAAAAATGTTAATTAATCAATATGGCTGTCAACATTGTTAATACCTATTTGATTTAAAATAATATTATTAATTTGTATTGATTTAATTAATTTTTTCAAAAATTATTGGTTGTTATCAATAATGTGCTTATTGTCAAATTGTTAACAAATTTACTAATTACTTTTTTTCGAATTACATTTAACTGAATCAAAGAGACTCGTCAAATCAAACAAATTAACAGAGATAACTACATTATATTTAGGAAGGAGGAACTGGAAAAAATAATAAAAATTATAGGATTTGAATTTTCATCCACTTTTTTTTATTATGAAAAAATCAAATGTTGATTAAATATGATTAAAAATAAATTTAACTATTTAATGTTAATTATATTTTATCAATATTATAATATAATAATTTTTGACAAAAAACAATTATAACCAAACTAACTTAACCAAATTGATAAGATCAATAAAGGATTCCGACTTCAATAAAGAACACGTCTTTGGACACTCAGAATGGTAATTAAAAAATACCTGTCTAAACAATGAAACCGATTGTTTGGACACTTTTGTTTATGTAAAAAGAACTGAATTCAGATGCATTACTTGCTCTCATAGAGTATTTAATGTTTGGTGTTGTTATGTACACTTCCGCGCAATATGTATCAATTGTAAAGATAAAAATAAGTGTGGTTTTGATTATTTGTTGATTTTATTTTTTTGTATAAAAAGAAATAATAAATAGTATTTTCCAGTTGGTCCCAACGGGAGGGGATAGAAAATAAGTGGATTTGAATCAGCGTTCTAAGGTTAATGTCTAAACTTTAATAAACAGGTTAAATGAATTGTTGTGTTTCTGATGAAATTTGTTAAACATAAAAAGTATTCAACAAAATAAATTTAATTATTTACTTAAAATAAATTGTTCTCATAAAGCCCATATTATACAGTATATTCCGGGTTTAATTCACTTAAAATATTTTTAAATTATCGGGTTTAACACTTAACACGTTTACGTTTTTAAAGACATTTCAAAACAACTAATTTTTGTTATATACCAATCGAATTATTTTGCCTTTTTGATTTGTAACACAAAACACTTTTTAATCAATACTCATCTTGAAATTATTAATTAAAGTATAAGCACATAAAAATTAAAAAAAAATCAAGGAAAGTTTGTCGATTGTAACACTGTTATGTTCAAATGTTCAACTGACCTTCTATTTTCGACTTGCAGTTTTGTGTCATTTACGCGCTCGTTTCCGTGGCCGAGCTTAAAGAATAATAAAATTAAACAAAATGTATTATACGAAAAGACAAAGTTGATGTGTAATGCTTGCAAGGAGCGTCGTTGCTAAAACATGTGTTCTCTATGTCAAGTGTCGTGGAAATGTGCGCGTAAACGACACAAAACGACGATTAATAAGTTATGTATTAATTCACGACGTACTCTCGGATTTAAAAAAGTCAAGAAATGAATTGATTCATAAATCTTAGTTGTTTTTGTTATGATGTCTTATTATATTTTACTAAGATCGTTGCAAAAAAATGTCGTCAGGAATGCGAACGGTTATTTCAACTATTATTTCAAAAAAAAACAAATTTTTTTTTGTTTTTTTTGCAAAACTTAAATTTTTTCACAGCAAAAGATTTTTTATAAAATAAAAAATAAATGGAACGCGAACGTGTTAACTGGCCGAAAACCAATTATTTATTAGAATAATAACAATATCAAAAAATGCCTTCTTTAAAAAAGTCGTTAAAAAAGACCAAAAACCCCTTCTTGGCCGAAAAACCGAAAAATGACTCAAAACTTAGTCAAAAATAATAAAAATGAGGACTCAATTACCTAAGATTTGTTTTTGAGGTTAAAAATAGCAACACATCTTTTTAAAAAAACACAGTCAAACTTTTCAAAAGCAAGAATGTATGGTAATTTTTGTTCTCTCAAGAACGGGAATTTTCGCCAATTAAACATCAAAACTTTTTATATAAAAAACTTGAATTTT